CAGGAATCTTTCCTTAACTGGGTCGATCAGCTCATGTACCTCAAGACCCACAACCTCTGCCATCACCGAGAATGCGTGTTGTGCTGTCTCACGCGCATGCGTATTCATGTGGGATAGCTCGAGACTGAAGGTCACAGAAAGAGCATGGATAGTGCTCCTCTCGTTCATGAGCATCTCTCGGGTCTGGCCGGCGCAGCATTTCCGAAGAATGAATTCCAGAGTCTCTTGGGCGGTGATCCGAGTACTAGCTGGAACTTCCTGAGGCGTGTCCTTGATCACGAAGAGCAAAGCTTTGATGATCTCAAGTTGCTTACTGGCGAGGAAGGGTTGGCCCAGATCCAGCTTCTTGACCAGAATTTGTATTCCCAAAGTCGCACCAGCCTTGGTGAACCACTCCACTTCACGGCATTTGTGGCAGAATGTCTGGGTAAGATGTGTAAAAAATGGAAGTTTCGCGACCTTTTCCTCGCTCCCAAAGATAGTACGAGCCGTATCCACAACAGCCAGCATTGATGCCTCCGCAGCCTCACGGATGAAGATGTTGTCAGAAGCCAGACAATCACAGATCACGTCGGCTAGTATGCGAGTGCTAAGATGGACCGCGCCTTCGCCGAGATTGACATCAAATTCCTTCGTTCTTCGGCCAGCGTCACACAGAGCCTGACCAAGTTCCACGAGAGTAAAATGGCGAGAGATGCTCTGAACGAAAACTTCCACTTGCGGTTTCAGATCCGGGACAGTCATTGCACTGAAGCAGGCCTTGAGTAGCTTCTTCAAATTCTCCTCTTGCTCTCGACGTTTGTGCACCGATTTACCAAATTCGTTATCGGCTAACATATCAGCGTATGTCTGGAAGCGTCGGGCCAGAAGGTCATTTGCTTGAAGTCGGAGAAGAGTTGCGAAGTCGTCAGGAAGGTAATCCTGGCCTATGAACAACTTCACTTGATTGCTGATATACTTGAACGATTGCTCCTTGTAATATAGATCCAAAGCCTTCGGATTCGTGTTCTTCGTTGTCTCAGTAAGTTTTCTAATGGCTAGGTCGACGCCAGTGTCCATGGGAAACGCTCGGTCCCGGCTCGTGTCGATGAGTCGAATATCAAAGCTAGGCTCGTCGTCAGTGTAGCGCCGATAAGCCAGACGGTGGGGATGATTCAGAAATTTCCTGTTACGTCCACCGAGTTTACCAAGAATGCGCATAGTCGTATGGGAGTGGAAATGTTGGTAGGGTTGAGGCTTCAGATGCTCGAACAGGGCAGTCATCAGATCATCCATGATTGGAGCCATGATTGGATCTAGATAATCTGCTGTAAGATTGTCAACGCAGAGCTCGAGCGTTCTTAATCCTTGCCCGACAAGATCCGGGCCAGCTCGAAGAGCCACAACCAGGGGTCTCATCAAGTGATTGAGATGCGGCAACAGATGACTGAGTCTCGCCGGCACAGTCAAAGTCAACTCAACGTACAAATCTCGGTCATGAGGGTCTCTGGCGCCCTGGAGCAAATGATTGAAAGTTTCGAGGAGCATTTCGAGAAGCGGAAGGATTTCCTTGTAGAGGAGTTCGAAGCGCCCACCACCAATACTTCGAAAGAGCGATCGAAGAAGAATGAAGTAATGGATGGGTTTCTCTGCCGTTACCGACAGCTGTACACATTGTGTAATGATCTTCGTGATGTGTGGGAGCAGAACTTGTTCGTTGTGTGTCGAGAAAAGCGTAACAGCCATGAATGACAATTTGAACATCCTCAGTAATATCGACGACAGGACAATGTCTGACGAACCAACCTCGGGAAGTTTGTTCATGAGGTATTGAAGAACCATCCCTGCAAATGCTGGTGATGTAGCTTCGCTGGCAAGAAAGAATTGAGGCAGATGAAGCAAGGCCGTATGCTCAGACATCAACTCGTGCAGGTAAGGAATCTCGGCTTGGAAGACTTCGTGGAAGGTGGCTGGATCGATGCAATGAAATACCGTCCCAAAGCTCTCTAACAATTCCTTTTCTTCTCTGGTCATTTGTGCCATTGAGTGGCTTGCCATAAAGTCCACCGGGGAGGAATATTGCATGTCCGGCACTGGCGCTTCTGCACTATAATAGCGAAAAACGCGAGCTCCTTCGTGGAAGAGCTTGGTGACCACGCGGGTCTCTTCAGCGTTGTAGCCGAAGGAAACTTCGTTCCAGTTGATCGGAATGCTTGCTTGGTCTACGTTCAGTCCTGGAGGGTTGCATGTTTTCAGTTGGTAGAACATATTCTTGAGCCCGTTGACAAGGTTCTTGAAGAGGAATTTGTTGTCGTTTACTGGGTCTGCACCTCGCTCTCGCGGATTTGACGTCTTAATAGGAGTGGCATTAAATATGTCCACAGCGTCCCAGTCCGGAACCTCGTCTTTGTCGTCCATGTATGTCTCCGCTTGGTTCTCCTTGGATTTGTCTCCGTAATGACGGCTCAGCTTCACAGCGTTCTCATACTGATAATTCATTGCGGCAAATTTGTCGCCGATCGCATCGAGAATCATAATCAAGAAATACCTCGCTTCTTCCTTATTCTCCAGTTTGGTGATGCTCTCGGCCATGTTGAGCAGCAACTTTGCACTCATCGTCTGGAAACTTGTACCAGGATAGTTGTCGTGAAGGTTTTTCGTGTACACTTCGATCGTCCGCCGTATCTGATTGCGCTCTAACGAGTCCCGCACGTGGTGTATGAGATCTGCGAGCATACTGTACGCTAGTGGACGCATACTCTCATATACGGTCAGGCCGTCACCAATAAGGATTCGTTCGTCTAGCAACTCGTCAATTTTGTTCAAGAAGATTTTGCGATAGTTGAAATTGATGATGTGCCGTATTGCAACCAACAGTTCTTTGCGCGCGCCGGACTTTTCTCTCGGGCAGTCTTTTAGCAACCTGACAACCACACCCGGCAGAGTTGGTAAGAAGTCTGTCAGCTGGTTTGCATATACCCGGAGAAGGTATGCCAGGAAACTCATCGTCTTGACCTGGGCGGTGATAAAGTCACCAAACGCAGCACGATTTTTTATCTCCTTGCTGACTCCGGTGAATATAGTCTTATTCGCCGCAGCCTCCGCGTGTGCCTTCTCTTGTGCTTTGGCCTGAAGCATGAGAATTCCCTTTATAGAAGGTACAAACTTCTTGACGTTGGCAGCAACTGAAGTTCGATGCGCTTGGAATATAGACACGACGATGATAGGACATTCTGAAAGAACCTTGAAGGACTGCATGCCCTTCGCCAGGGGTGCGTGTTCCTTCTTTTCCGTCCCTGGATCGGACACCGTCGTGGCGGGCGAGCCAGGGCGCGGAGACTGGAAGGTCTGGCTTTGAGGGTTGGTCGTCAGAGATGAGGCCTGGTGATGCGGCCCGGGAGAATCGAAGGTGTCGCGGACCACCTGTTCCATCAAATCGAACATTTCTTGAATGAGGTCAAGGAAGGGTTGGACTTTTGAAGCAGTGGCACTCGGTTGGTGACGCTCGAGATCCATGATCGTCTTCAGACACAAAACAGCATTATCCTCATTTTCCACCCTGACCAGCTCCATCAGCGTTTCCACCATGTCTAAAGCAAAGGGTTCAACCTCGTGCAGCTGATGTTGTAATCTATGGAGGATCTCGAGAATCTGATTCCGAAGGATATGTTCGAAGGAGGTCGGGTTCAGATCTGTCTTCCCCTCCAGGATCTTCTTGAAGACAGGCCATAACTTCGTCAAGAACTTTGTGTAGACACTGGACGGGGTGCACAAAGATTCGATCGAGTCGCGGAGTTCTGTCGCCACGTTCGATTTTGTCCGTGTATCTAGAACAATGTCATAGTCAGACAGCATATCCCGGAAGGTGTTTGCGGCGGACACGCGACTTACCAATCTTTGGATCACTGAGCCTTGCGGCGTAGACATCAATCTTCTGAAAGGCATCCATGCTGTCGTCGTTCTGGGTCGACCTCCCGACTTCACCAGAGAGTGGGAGAGTCGGCTACCCGTAAGGAGAGAGGTGTATCGCAACGCTTGAGCGGCCTCATTAGGGTTCGCTTCTGCAAAGGCCCATTTGCACCTCGGCGAATGTGACTGAGAGCGCAGGAGTAAAAGAGTCGCTACAGGAGGTGTGCAACGCAATTAACTGGTCGCTGGAGAAAGAGATGCAAACACAATTAAGTACGCTCCCTGCAACAATACTAAACGAGAATGTAAAGGGAAGAAATGGGTGTAGGCAAGTTGCCCTGTTGACCTTGGTGTGCCTCCTCCGACCAAATTTGTATGGAGACCTCTGCGGAGAATCAAGGCGCGAGGTAGAAAAGTGAATGCGAGGGGGGACGCTCGATGCCTCGAGCGTGAAGCTCACGTGATAAAGTTAGTCGTTAACGGGAATAGCGTGAACTGCCAAAAGCCAATCGTACTCGATTCGTCAATGGAGCCGCCTAATGTGGAGCTTGGCGGGGGCCTAGGTAAGGCTCGCGTGCAGCCTTGGGGGAGGAAAATACATTATGGGACATACATTCCAAGGTCTGCTAGACTGGAAAAGAGGTTGAAGACATTTCTTTACAACTCGGACATTGCCTTTCTCCAATTCTTCTTCCCACCTAGGCGCTTTTACCGCCCATGTTGCTCGTGTCTTCATTTCAGAGGCTGAACATGTCGATTAGCGCCTCGTGGTACTCTATCGTCCCCAGGACATCGCCAAAACCCAAGGTAAAATTCACGGTGTTGCAGGGTATCTGAATCCTTCGCAGGCTGAGCGCCAGCTCGAGGTAACCCAAAACATCAATCAAGGTCGATCATTTGTCGACGATTCAGAGTGAACGTTGGATCACTCAGTCATAGCTCGCTGCCACCACCGACAGTCCAAGAATCGCTTGAGTCAACGTTGCGGCAAGCCACCGGCGTGGCGGTGAGTATGAGGCATTTGTACTATCCGGTGAAATTCGATTGATCCTCCAGAATGTGCGCGATGTCTTCTCGATTTGCCATCCAAACTGCTGTTAGACCGGCGAGATCTAGTCTGCCCATGTGAGTCTGCGCGTCGCCTCTGGAGATTCCAAAGCCATGTCAGAAACAGCCATCAACGTCACTATAATGATAAAAGAATGTCTTAGCCAAAATGGAGATAACAAGGTGGTAACGAGGGTATCGCTGGGTCGCGTGGTGCAAAGCAGATACGGGCTTACCGACGATGGCTTGCTTGACGATGACTCATCATGCAACTTGAGAGCATCTAGCCTCTCTTGGTTGTCCTGTGCGGCATCTGTCTCTGGCACTTCCTTGATGCTTGGAGTTGTCGGGGGCTTTGCCAATCCGGCCTTCATACGGTTTGCCTGCTCGGTGAGCTTCTCCCACTTCGCCTCGCGTGCCTTTTCTCGTTGAGCAGCAGTGTTCTGCATTTCATTGTAATCATGCGAACATTCGTCGAAAAGTTGAGGATTGATCTCCATGAAAAGTTTCATTGCATTGTAAACCATGCCATGTATTGTGCTGGCCACTCGTTAGCGGATTGCATAACTCGAACGGAAGCACACGTACCGGTTCCAATGACCCTTTGAATTCTCATACAATGGGGCAAACATGATCGGGAGGATGGTTTCGACGTTGTCACTGACGAGATTGCAGAAATATTCGTTGTTCCAGAAGTATAGTGCACGCTCCGCAACCTGGAAGTGAGGACTCGCCACGGATTTGGCCAACTGGTTGAAGAGAGGCTCTTGGACCTTTGCAAATTCTTGTGGATCCATAACCTCAAAAATGTCCTCGACCTCGTTCAAGAACATGACTTCCTTGGTGCTGTTAACTTTCGGCCAGTAGCGTAGTAGACCAAGCACAACCTGGAATACGGAATCAGTATAATAAGTACAAGATAACATGAGTGAAAGCTTACTTCTTCTGTCAGCGCTGCGTCTTTCTCTAGGAACTGCACGATACAATATGCCAACTGAGGATGATACATGCTCAAACTCTTCACTTTGTGAAGAGGAATGAGTACTCTGGTCAAAAACAGCTTATGCTCTTCTTTGAGTGGGAGAGCAAAGCCATTGATGATTGAACCAAGAATTTCGAGAAGTTCGGCTATGCCGTTGAACCTCTCGGTCTCATAGGTAAACTGGAAAAAGACATTGTTGATGGATCTGCGAATGTAGGACCGAAGATTTAAGAATTTGCCGTAAATGCGGTGGAGCGTCGTCTTGAGGAAGTCTCTTTCCCGGGGATCTTCCGAGTCAAACAGCTCCAGTAACTGAAGGACAAAATGATGATCAATGTAAGCTTTGGCAATGTTTGTGTTGAAGTCTTGGCTTTCAATGAAACGCAAGAAAAACTCGTAGACAACTTGGATGTGAGGCCAAGCAACTTCCAGGACCGGTTCATCTTCCTCGGGATCAAATGCTTCACCCTGTGGATTGACAGGAGGAGGAACGGGGCGGAATAGGTTCTTGCTGAACATTTCGACAACTTTCGGATACATCGGTTCGGTTATCACCGACCTGTTGTTGGCAACGTAGTCCAGAAGTTCGTGGAGGGCGAGTCTCTTGATTTCTTTTGATTTCATGTCGGCGGTCTGATCATTGAAGTCGAAGATGATATTACATTGATCAATTTTCTGCATGAACAACTCTTGTCTTCGGTTAGGAGGGACTTCATGGAAGCCGGGCAATTTCTCTAGGTCACGAGCTCTTTGGTCCGATACATCAAACCGTGATGAATGCTGTCTCTTGGGAGTTCGGACACCCTCGGGCACATCTTTTGGGGTACTCTGCAATCGATCGAAGAGGAGGGACTTTTGGCCGGCCTTGGGGGGCGCCAGGTCGCCAGGCATCGTTTCAGTCGCACCAGGTCCAGGAATGTGAGGAGCACTTGGACTGATGATAACGCTTGGAGCAATGTGATGTCGGCCCGGGGCTGTTCCAGGTCCACCCGGTCCATGACCAGAGCCTTGCGACATGAAATGAGAAGCCAGCGAACCTGACCCTGTTGCAGAGCCAGCATGGTGTTGGGTGGTGGTGTGGCTGGTATTGGTGCTCTCATGATTCCCACTCTTATTTCGGAGATCATTCAGATTCGTTGACGAAGACGTCGGAGTTGCGGTGTTGGAACTGTTGGGGGATCTCGAATCACTACCGGGGAGCGTAGTGGATGATGACAGCGGTGATGCAGTGCCCGAATTATTCGCATCTTTTTTCTTGGACGATTTGTTACTATCTTTCGCCCTCGATAACTGCTCGTGCTAGAATATCAGTGAGCGGAAGCGATTACACGGCAGGGCACAAGACGCGGCTTGGGAGGATACTTACCACTCTCTGCCTGAAACCTTTCATTTTGCCAGACTCTCTTCAGTATTCGACGCGTTCACGCACCAGTGATAGTGAGGGCAGTTGCCTTGGTTGATGCGACGCTTTGTCGGTTCCAGGAAGCGACGAGGCTGTTATGTGCGTTTCATCCGAGTCACGACCACCAGATCGGCTTCTCAGTAGGAGGCGGCGGGTAGAGGTTTCAGGGAAAACCAAACCAATTCAACAGGCTTCAGTAATGCCGGCTACTTCCTTCTCTTCTATCAGTTGCTCATTCTTAGAAGTAGTCCGGGCACAGAGGAGGAACGACAGTACGGCAGGCGGGTAGAGGAGGTGATAGAGGGTAGCTGGAGGATTCGGTTTGAAGGACTGCAAGGACCCTGAGAAGAGCGCAGCAGAGAAGGATAGAAAGAATCAATCCGAGATCAAAGGTGTCGGAGTTGGAGGTGGATTATTGATCTAAGTGCATCGAGAAGGGCATCCATTGAAGAGCAGTCAAGGTGACGAATAGTCGAGTAGTTGTGCGCAGCTCGAGGTAAATGCAAGTCAAAGTGTAGTCGCAGTCGCAGGTTGGCGGGGACGGGTTCAGTGTTTCGGTGTCAGTACGCGGCTGGATTGAGGTGCAATTTAGCAGGTTAGCTAAGGCCAACTTGATCCAGTAATGCCAATTGCCGTCAAAGGGGCCTATTGGCCTGACCACTAAGGCTTATGGGGCACCTGAGGTAGTCGCCAAACCACCCTTACGTGCCTTGGGGGAAGGGCTTCAGTTTGTTTGGGTGCTCGGAGTAGTTGCCTCAAATGAGAGATCGTCACCTAGTTTGGCACTTGGCTGCGGAATCAAGATTTGTTTCATCAACCTGTCATGGGGTTCACAAGATAATCAACCTCCAAGTCACAAGGATATATCACCCGAGACTTGAAAGTAAACCAAGCTTCATGGCCAAATGGTACTTTCCTTGCAACTACCGGCCTTAGCCTTGTCCTCCGCCGTGTCAAAACAAGGTGAGACGTCCTGTCCGCTTGTAGTTACCGGATTTACTATTGGACAGGTTGGGTAAACAACCACATATTATCATCCACTCTGTCCATCTCGTATCGAACCTCTCCACCCAGCATCTCAAATGCCTCGTGGTCCTAGTAATGGGGAGACTGCCCCGTCATTCCAGGTCCCACGTAACCCTATCCTATCTATCGAGCATCCATGCATCGTCAAAAATGTGGAAAAGGCTGTCGACATGCTCGGGGGTCCTGCGGAGATCGTACAGAGTCTGGAGTCAGGATTGGAGAAGCCGCTGGGGCTCAAATTTCAACCCGAGGATCCAAGCAGTCGTGCAGTGCTGTCTTACAACAAGCCAACCAATAATGTGCTGCTTAAAGTGACTGTTCCGAAACGAACAGGCAGGAAAAGGAGGCGAGGCGTTGATGAACAGTTCTCCGAAGATTCTGGAGAGTCACACCCCCGGAAAGATGTCAAATACCTCCTCCGTTCCCTGACCGACAATCGCGAACGCTGTGAGGTCGAGGTCGTGGGCCAGATTGGCTCTACACACGTTTGGCGCACCATGCCCGATTTCACCTATTCGTCTAAAGGGTCTTCATTTCTAGGCGAGGTACAGTCCAAAGTTCTTCCTCAGCAGTACCCGTTGCTTAAGCAATGGCCTTTTCCTAGGTCTTCTCCTAAAGAAGATACAGAGGTTGTTCCTCCTCCAGTGCTTTCCACCCAGAACCTCCCGGCCAACTTCACATATTGCCAAGAGACAGCCGCGGACTCCATGGTTGAGCGACACTCAGCAAACCGAAGGACGGATGAGTCTGTCGTACATTCCACCAGTTAATATCAACGACTTGGTCCGGAGGTGTTTGACGAGCAACCCATCTAAGCGTTTCAACACCTGCCAGCTATTACAAAACCGGCACGGATACCCTTGATTTCCTATATCAGGATATTGAGAGGACAATTCGCTTGATGTGTTGGGCGGATTCAATGACTTCTCCACCTGGCCATACGCCCGCATTTGGATCTCGTTTGTCATATGCTGTAGACTCGATATCCCTCAGCCGACATGCCCCATGGCGACCTCTCGATGAGAAGACGACCATTTGCAAGGTGCACGTTGTCGAGTGGAATTATAGTGGATACCAAGTTCGCTGCATATCATACAACGAAGAGGAAACAGGTCTTGTCCAGTCGCAAAAAAGAGAAGCACGGGAAATCGTTACCTTCAGAAGCTTTTCTAGTCAACCCACTCGGCTCGTTCAGACCTCTTCAGTCGACCCATTCAGCCTTACAAGTTGACGTCCCGTTGAGAAACTAGAACCTCATAAGCAGGTGAGAAGATCCAGCGATAGTCAAGGATCGGAGTCAGCAACGCGATCGACCGATCTCTCCGGATAAATTTTGGTTATCAATCTTTAGTGAGAGATTCCGAGTCTCGGGAGCATGAGCCTGACAAGAAGTATGCCCGTACTCGATAATGCAACGAAACACAACGTCCCCTAGACACAGATCCCAGGGATGTGGGAAGAGGTATCTTGTAAACAGGAGACAGAAGCAAAGAAGATGGATACTCAATGGGGAGGAAACTGTTAGTCAGCAACCTTGCCGGCCCTCCGCCGAGTTTGATATCTCTTGGCAGTCTTGGCAATATGCTGACCAATAATGCAAAGCCTGTGGTGTTTGCCGAGCCATGCCAATTCCGTGCCCCGATGACTCTCCTGAGAGCCCCGCATGTCTTCTCTCACGACCTTCTTATCGCTTGATCGTTCGCTTAAACAGCCAGCATAAGAAGACTTTCATTGCCACTGTCTCCATGTTCGAAAGCGATGGATATAGATAGTCGACCCCCGGCTCAGGCCATGTTCACCTTCGCCACGAATAAACCTCGGACCTCAAGCGGTCGAAATCATGCCTACAGAAAGATCCGATGGAAAAAGTACGATCCCAGCAAGAAATCTCCCAACTCGGCTCCAGACCAGTTTGTGCAGTGGCAGCCTCCAGATGCAACACGAGATGAAGACGAGGAGGGCATCATTCAACACAAATCAAAGCCTAGCGACGCAAAGCAGAATCCGCTTGCAAAGGCTCTTGTTTTTGTCTCTCCACTTGAGCCTCTTCCAATGAACGGAACCCGCGAGGATCCATTCCTAGTTCTACCCATCAAGTCGACTGAGACTGTGCAAGACACCCTAGACTACTATGTCACCATCTGCAAAGGCTTCAGGAATGAGAGATCCGTCGTTCCGGGCCCGGTCAACCCACATCTCTCGCTCTTGCTGCCTTACGCACTCAAGCACCCCATCCTTTTTGAGTCCATCATATCAGTCTGTCGGGCGTCCATTCTAATCTCACTTGGAAGGCCCATATGGGAAGACTACGCCTTTGTTCATCACCGCGGCAGCGCTATAGCCGGCCTCAATGAAAGACTCCAGTCTAGCGAGGCCACTGACGATGCAGCCCTGCTGACAGTCACGATGCTTATGACGCTTGAATATCTCTCTGGCAACCAGCAAGGCGTGATAATGCACTGCAAAGGCCTAGAGAAAATGCTAGAGCTCCGTGGGTCACTCTCTAATGACAAAGACGATACAAAGACGGAGTCCGACTGGACAAAATTCGTCAGCCATGGTCTTGTGGCATACAAGGCTCTAGGGTCCTTCGTGACAGGCCAACCACCCGACCTGCCTCGCGATTCGGTTGGCTACCTCAGGGAGACATTTCAAGAACTAAACCTCGATCAGCCGCTCACCTATCCTGAAACTCCGTTCCCACCAGACCTTTGCATCATCCTTGCTCGCCTTCCCTTAGGGCTCTCGGAGCTCTGTGTTGCATCTAGGATATCAGTACAGATGATCAAGCTCCTTGCTTCAATTTCGGCTGCCACCACCCTCCTGGCCACGGAAACTGTCAGCTACGAGAATCTCCTTGACCGCACCTGGACTCCTCCCTCAGAATTACCCCTCCCCGATTCATCCCAGTACGACGAAGAATGGAAGCAAACGATGATCCAAACCATCCTCTCCTCTCTTCAACGAATGTCGTTGACATCCACCTGCCCACTCGAATACTACCTCACCATGGGCTTGCTAGCCTATATATTCCAGCTCCGAGGTCTAGCAGCAGTGAACCTCTTCTATGATCCCATCCTCCGCAAATTCATCACCTCGTTACCGACTCATGCTAAACCAGCCTCGCTCCAGGAACAAAACACACTGGTTTGGTGCAGTATTGCCACTGCTGGAGCGCTTGCTCTCCGTGTTGTTCCCATGCCCAATTCCCATTTGATTATGGAGCATGTTTTGGATCTATACCCACAAGCGCGCCAGTGGGCCCGCCTGGAAAAAGTTCTACGCACCTTCTTCTATACCAAAGAAATTGGTACCCATTGGAAACGCGTCTGGCAGTCCGCCATGAAGAGACGAGAGTTTGTTATTGGTCAACAACAACGGAAGGGACACTACGTCGATCCCAAGACTGACAGTACCGTGAGCATGGACAGAGAACTCCACGAACAAACCAATTACTCAATTCAGGGGCCGTTAGATTTCCCAGATTTCGACATGAACTCTGAAGCGCTAAGGGCACATATCCGCCAGCACATCGCGGGGGCGCCAAAGACGGTGGTCGAAATGTCCCAGGCTATGGGTCTCTGTCCATTTCGACCACAGGTCTCATCACCCTTCTCAACAGGCAGCTCTGCATCGACTGCGACTGCAACTGCGACAACCACGTCAAGTCCGAACACGAACTTGACGCCTTCGCCAAAAGCCGTCTGACTGTCACGGGTGCAAGATGTATTGAGTCGTGACATGAGCCAGTCTCAATCTTTGTACTTTGGGCTCGAAACAATCTGTTGGACTGAGTCATGGGAATTTCTGTTTCTATTAAGACCCCATCACCACACATTATAAGCCACATTGCGTCTACAGCTACCACTGCTCCGGCTTTTTCAGAGGACGGGACGCTTCTGTGAGCAAACCTCAGTGCCTTTCCAGTTGTGTGGAACGGATGGATAGCTGGCCCTACATAT